CTGCCCACTCTCAGCTGTGCCACGGAGGAAGAGGAGGAGGATGATGCTGAGGACAGCTGGGAGGGCAACGGTGGGGACACCGAGCACAGGGGCCGAGGCTGGGGGCACCCTGGGGTGGGGACTGGCCCTGGCTGTGCATCGGGGACCCCTCCAGAGCCCCCCCTCCACGGGGAGGGACATCACTCATCTCCCCCCTGCCCCAGTGTCCCCGTCACCACCCTCCCCACGGGGGCAGGGGGTGCCATCCTGGGAGCACCCCGCTCCCTCCTGCCGCCCTGGGGGGTGTTGTGTGTGACGGAGAAGTGACACCCACCCCCCCCTTCCCCAAATATCCCATTATTTTGGGTGTTTCCTGAAGCACCCGAGCAGGACGGGGCTGGGCAGAGCCCACCAGGACAGTGGGGCCGAGCCACTGGCCTCAGCCCCCTGCGCACGGGGCAGGGGGTGCCCTCAAACCCCCCCCAGCATCGCCCAAAAAGGGGGGGGGGGTCCCAATCACTAGGGATTCGCTGCCACCTCCCCCGGGGTGGAATGGGGGGAGCTGGGGTGCATCCCCCCCAAACCTCTGACCTGCTGCCCCCCGGTCTCAGCTCACTGAGACTCTCCCCTTCCCATTTCCCACCCAAGCAGGGGGGGGAAATCCAAACCGAACTGAAAGTAGGGGTGTTTTGCAACCAGGAAAAAAAATAATAACAATAATTAAGGAAGCCGAGCCTGAACGGAGAGACAGAAAAACCCCAGTGCCTCTGAGACGGCCCCGTTCCCCCCCCTGGTGAGGAGCTGCCCCCCCAGGAGCCCACGGCCCCACCGCTCGCCCCAACTGGAGGTCTCCTCCTCGCCCTTCCACGGGGGGGGTCCCCCTAACCAGCCTGGGGGGGCTGCCAGCACCCACAGAGCCCCACGGGGCAGTGGGGCTTTAGGTGGGGAGGCTGCCCCTTGGGGGTGCAGTGTGGCCAGCACGGGGGATGCCAGCAGGAAAGTCCTTGTCCCCATCCTCATCCTCATCCTCATCCTCATCCCCATCCCCATCCCACAATGGGGATTGTTCTGGAGGCCTTGTCCCCATCCTCATCCTCATCCCCATCCCCATCCCCATCCTGATCCCATCCCACAATGGGGATTGTTCTGGAGGCCTTGTCCCCATCCTCATCCTCATCCTCATCCCCATCCCCATCCCCGTCCCCATCCCACAATGGGGATTGTTCTGGAGGCCTTGTCCCCATCCTCATCCTCATCCCCATCCCCATCCCGATCCCATCCCACAATGGGGATTGTTCAGGAGGCCGGGGCAGGATGCAGCCCCACGCCTGACTCACATCCTCCCCGGCCGGGAGGGAGGGAGCCCCGGCTCCGGCATCGCTCCCCGCGGGGCTGGGACACGGGACGGGGGCTGCTGGGGACCCCCCTCCCCGGCCAGGACCCGCCACCACCCCATCCCAAAGATGGAAAAAATCCCCTCCGCCATCCGGGGACCCAGGGAGCGGTGACTCCCCCAAACTGGTGGGAGCTCCCCCCACATTCCCGGGGGGAAGAGCTGGAGCAGAGCGAGGCCGTTTGCACTAAGTGATCACATTTATTTGAATAAGTTTTTTTTTTTTGTTTTTTTTTGTTGTGTGTGTGTGTGTGTTTGTGTGTGTTTTCTAAAATCGGTTACAGAATAAATACCTGTGCCTTATAGCAGGAAGTCCACTTTTTTTTTTTATACAAAGTGCTTGTTACAGGAAGTTGCATCAGCGATACGCAGGAGGGGGGGTGCATTTCGGCCACGCTTCCCCTCCTGAAAACTAGAACAGATTTTTTTTTTTTTATCTATTTATTCGTGTTTTTTTTTTTTTTAAGTTTCTTTTCCCTTTTCTTTTTTTTTGTGCATTAAATTTCCTGCCATTGTGTATTTACAAATCTCTGAAAGAAGGAAAAAAAAAAAAATGCCAATATGCATGAGAAGTGGCCTCGTAACACAAAAAAAAAAAATATCAGCCTTTAAAAAAAAAAACAAAAACAGGTAACAAACCCAAAATCTACAAGTATCGTTTCATACTGAATCAATCATAGATTTTTTTCTTTTTTTTTCTCTTTAAAAAGGGAAAGAGAGGGGTGGGGAAAGGGGAAAAATTGAACCAAACCAAAAAAAAAAAAAAAAAAAAAAAAAAAAAAAAAAAAAAAAAAAAAAAAAAAAAAAAAAAAAAAAAAAAAAAAAAAAAAAAAAAAAAAAAAAAAAAAAAAAAAAAAAAAAAAAAAAGAAAATGAACTGGGAGAAATGGAAGGAGAGAAGGTGCCAGTGTCCCTTCTGGAGTTTTCCAAAGGCAAAGAGGAACCAGGAAGAGCACGACACACAGACCCAGACGCCCGACTGAAATCCCCATCAATTTCTTCTCGGTAATTTCTCCCTCGTCTTTTTTTTTCCCAGCGAGGGGCAGGAAGGACTTTCCAAAATTAAATTAAAAAAAAAAAAAAAGGAATTAATAGGAGAAAAAAAAATATTATTTTGTTTGAAAAGAATTTAAAACAAAAAAAAAGAGAGAGAGAGAGATGAGAGAACAACCCTCCCCAAAATCCTGGAGGGGCGCAAGGTTGGGTTTGATTTAAAAAGGGGGAAAAAAAAAACACAAAAAAAAAGCCAAAGCAAAGCAGACTTTTCTCTGCAAAGGCGCCGTCGGAGGGGACGCTGCGGTGACGGTTAACTGGTGACGTAGTGTTTCGCCGAGGGCTGGCCGTAGACCCTATAGAAATCCTGCCGCCCGTGCTGCTGGGAAGCGTCAATCCATTCCCTCACGGCAAGTCCCGGGAGCGACTGGGGGACGGCGGGGGCGGGCGGCAGCGGGTGGGAGTACTCCTGCGAGGAGACCGTCCAGGGGAAGTGCCCCGACCGCGGGTAGGGCTGGTGCCCGCTGTGGTTGGAGACGGAGGAACAGTAACAGTTATCCACCGAGCAGACCAGGATTTTGCGCCCGCCGTACTGGGAGAGCACGGACTGCTGAGATGAGGTGGTGTTGGGGTAGTGAGATGGGTTGAAAACCGAGCCCGAGTGCACGGGCTGCGGGCCGCTGGGAAGTCCGACTATGTGCTGCGTGGAGCTACAAGGCACCATGGCTTGTGCGGACTGCCCCTCGCCGGCCGAAGCGCCCTGGCTCATGTACTGGCTCGTCACAGTCCCGGACGATGGCTCGAGGAAGCTGCCCTCGGGGAAGGCGGTGGAGTGCTTGCGCTTCTCCGCGCCGGAGTTGCTGACGGTGCAGGGGTACATGGGGATGCTCTGCAGGAAGGGGACGGGGGTGCTCAGAGGACCTGCGGAGGAGAAGAGGAGAGAGGGGGCTGAGGCAATGCACGGCAAAGCTCCAGGGAGCTCCCAACCCACAGCCCTGAGACCAACGGAGATGATGGAGGGGCTGCTCTGCACTGGGGAGAATCCTGCATCCAGTGCTGGGCTCCCCAGGTCAAGAGAGACAGGGAACTGCTGGAGAGAGTCCAGCGTAGGGCAACAGAGAGGATGGAGGGGTTGGAGCATCTCCCTGATGAGGAAAGGCTGAGAGAGCTGGGGCTCTTCAGCCTGGAGAAGAGAAGGCTGAGGGGAGACCTTCTTCATGCTGACAAGTCTCTAAAGGGGGGGTTGAAGGAGGATGGAGCCGGACTCTTTCCAGTGGTTCCCAGGGACAGGACGAGGGGCAACAGGCACAAGCTGGGCCATGGGAAGTTCCACTCCAATGGGAGGAAGAACTTGTTTGGGATGAGGGTGGCAGAGCCCTGGCAGAGGCTGCCCAGGGAGGGTGTGGAGTCCCCTTCTCTGGAGATCTTCAAGCCCCGCCTGGATGCTCCTGAGTGATGTGCTCTGGGCAGCCCTGCTTTGGCCGGGGGGTTGGACTGGAGGGTCTCTAGAGGTCCCTTCCAACTCTGACAATTCCGTGATTCCATGACCCATGCTCCAGCCCCACGCAAGGAGAGGGTCCCCCAGCTCATCCCACCAGTGCCAAACTGGGCACACAGATGAATTTTCAGTTTCCGTTCTGGGACTTCGGAGCAGCCCCAAGTGCTGCCCTGCAAACACCTGCGCAGGCTGAGCCAGAGTCACAGAATGCTATGGGGTTGGAAGGGACCTCTGGAGATCATCTAGTCCAACCCCCTGCCAAAGCAGGGCCACCCAGAGCAGGTCCCACAGGAACGTGTCCAGGTGGGGTTTGAATGTCTCCAGAGAAGGAGACTCCACCACCTCTCTGGGCAGCCTCTTCCAGGGCTCTGCCACCCTCACAGGAAAGAAGTTCCTCCTCATAAGCCCTTGTACAGCTCATGACTACAGTCCATGACAGGATCAGAGGAGAACAGCCCGGGTGACAAAACCAAATCCCCCAAGGACAGAGGACTGGGAAGCCTCCACAGGACATAGTCTGCTCCCAGGTGTGGGCTGGGGGCTGCAGGACCATGTTGGCCCCCTGGATGTGTCACCCCAAAACACAGCCATCTCACAAGCCAAGGGAGATGTCCTGGGCAGAGCCAGGAGCTGGCTTCACAGCATCTCCATGCCCCCATTGACCACCAAGGGGTTCCCAGGGGCCCCTGCACCCCAACAGCTCTCCCCACCCTCTTCTACTGGGATCTCCAGGGCACCCAGCTATGGATACTGGTGGTAGCAAGGTCCCGAGCCCCTCCTTGTCACCCCTCAGGCTTCACCCACCTTCCAGCAACTTCCTGAGCTGCTTCTCCTTCTTGGCGATCTCGTTCAGGAAGAGCTTGGAGTTGAGGTGGCCGATTTTGGGTGGGGGCAGGCTGCCACCTGTACAGTTCTGGGTCCTGGTGGGGACCACGGGCAGAGAGGAAGAGGCGTGAGGGACAAAGCACACTCAGGGGAGGGTCAGAAAGCCCCCATACGAGCACCCTCCCAGGGCCAAACCCCTTCCCCAGGGAGGCAGCACCGAGGGCAGTGAGGAGCTGGCCCTCTCCAATGGGTCAGTCCCTCCCCAGCAGGACCTTCCCCACCCAGCCTTGCTGTGGACGTCCTGTCCCAATGTGACCTCCTGCAGCCCCTGTGCCCCCCGGCATCGCCACCCCACTCACCCCAGCTCTGCTAGCACTGGTTTTAACCCCAAGCCCTGGGGGGAGAAGAAGGAGAGCAGAGCTGGACCAAGCCCTGTGCCCCAACCCAACTGGTCCCACCCTGGCTGGGGTGCTGGGTCCCAGCTCTGCTCCTCCACAAACACACCACCATCTCCCCTAGACCAAGGGGAGGACTCCGTGGCCTCAGGAGGGGATTTCTCATCCCCCCAGAGTGAGAGGGACACTGAGGCACAGAACATGCCCCTCCCAGGCCCTGCAGCACCTCTGGCCCTGCTCCTCCTCCAGACATCCTGCTGCTGCCACCCCCAAAACAGTCCCCTTTCCCCCCAAACCCACCCACCCCACTGCGCTTACCTGTCCATTAGGATTTTCACAGACTTGGTGTTCTAGGAGGGGAAGGAGAACCTCTGGTCAGTAACACTGTTCCTGCCCCAGTGGCCACCTCCCCTTTTGGTGTCACCTTCAGTGGCCCCCCCAGGAGAGGACAGGCTGCCCAGGGGTGCCAAGCCCCCTCTCCCTCCATCACAAGCTGCCCCAGCCCCATCTCTGGCTGAGGAACCTCCTCATTTGAGGCCAGCACTGAGCCTGTCCTGCTCCTCCTCACCTTCCTCCACTGCTGAGCCCTCTGGAGGCTTCAGCTATTCCTGTCAGTGTCCCCAGCCCACTCCCTGCCATGCCCCACACCTCCCCGATGCCCCCTGTACAACCAGGTCCCCCCCCAGCCCCCATCCCACCCCCGGCACAGGCAGCTCATCTCACCTTCATGAAGTTGATGTCCTCGGTTTTGTCAAACATGACCTGGACAGAGCTGAGGAGCTTCTTGGCCTCCTGCATGCGCTCGTTGAGGTGGAGGACCTGGGCCGCGTTCTCATTGCAGAACTTGGCCTGGGCCTTGTCCAGGATCTCCATGGTCTTCCGCAAGTCCTCATCCAAGATCTGGTGCATCTTCTCATACTGCAGGCGCACCTCATCCTTCAGCTGGCTCACCTTCTCCTGGGAGAGAGGAGCAGGGTCAGCCCCTCAGTGCCCTCCAACCTCCACTGTGATGCCCCAGGACACCTGGGTCCTTTCCCCAGCAGGGGTGGGTGTGAGTCGAGAGCTCCACCACAGCTCCTGCAATGCCCACACAGACCAAACCCTGCCATGAGCTGCCGTGTGGGACTCCTGGTTGGGAGGACCCAGCCTCCACTGTGGAGGTTTGGCTAATACAGAAGATGCAGGTCTCCTGGACCCACCTCCTGGGGTCTAGATGGTGATCACCTCTGGACAGCTAATACCCAGCAATGACCTGCTGCACCACTGGGATGGGTGTGCTCTCTTAAAAAACCCTGCCCATCCCATCCTTGTCCTCATCCCTGTCCTCCTCCCCACCCCAGGCTTGGGTCACGTCATACTCCAGAGCCCATCCCTCCACGTTCTGGGAGGCTGAGGGGCTGTAAGGACCACGAGCTGATCTTGTTTTACCTGTGTCCCAAAAAACCACAAGCTTGCCTCTTTTCCACCTCCGGAGTATTTCAGCGGTTTATTTGGGGATCTTCCACCTCCAGACCCTCCCCTCCCATTTGGGACGAAGTGGGTGGCCTGGAGAAGGCTGTGCTGAGCCAAGGGCAGGATGGGACACCTGATATTTAAGGACAGCCTTATTCCTCGCCCCCTAACTCACCCCAGGACCCACGAGGCTGTGGGGCAGCCCCAAACATGTTGAATTCCCCGAAAGGAATGACTGCCAAGACTGGAATGGAGACAACAGGTCTGTCCGGCTGCTCCTCCCCTGCATGTCCTCCCTCTTCCCTGCCCTCTGTGTCCCCATCACACCATGGGGTGACAGTCCCCGGGGCTGGCCTCTTCCCTGCCCTCTCTCACCCCCGGCACAGGCAGCTCATCTCACCTTCATGAAGTTGATGTCCTCGGTTTTGTCAAACATGACCTGGACAGAGCTGAGGAGCTTCTTGGCCTCCTGCATGCGCTCGTTGAGGTGGAGGACCTGGGCCGCGTTCTCATTGCAGAACTTGGCCTGGGCCTTGTCCAGGATCTCCATGGTCTTCCGCAAGTCCTCATCCAAGATCTGGTGCATCTTCTCATACTGCAGGCGCACCTCATCCTTCAGCTGGCTCACCTTCTCCTGGGAGAGAGGAGCAGGGTCAGCCCCTCAGTGCCCTCCAACCTCCACTGTGATGCCCCAGGACACCTGGGTCCTTTCCCCAGCAGGGGTGGGTGTGAGTCGAGAGCTCCACCACAGCTCCTGCAATGCCCACACAGACCAAACCCTGCCATGAGCTGCCGTGTGGGACTCCTGGTTGGGAGGACCCAGCCTCCACTGTGGAGGTTTGGCTAATACAGAAGATGCAGGTCTCCTGGACCCACCTCCTGGGGTCTAGATGGTGATCACCTCTGGACAGCTAATACCCAGCAATGACCTGCTGCACCACTGGGATGGGTGTGCTCTCTTAAAAAACCCTGCCCATCCCATCCTTGTCCTCATCCCTGTCCTCCTCCCCACCCCAGGCTTGGGTCACGTCATACTCCAGAGCCCATCCCTCCACGTTCTGGGAGGCTGAGGGGCTGTAAGGACCACGAGCTGATCTTGTTTTACCTGTGTCCCAAAAAACCACAAGCTTGCCTCTTTTCCACCTCCGGAGTATTTCAGCGGTTTATTTGGGGATCTTCCACCTCCAGACCCTCCCCTCCCATTTGGGACGAAGTGGGTGGCCTGGAGAAGGCTGTGCTGAGCCAAGGGCAGGATGGGACACCTGATATTTAAGGACAGCCTTATTCCTCGCCCCCTAACTCACCCCAGGACCCACGAGGCTGTGGGGCAGCCCCAAACATGTTGAATTCCCCGAAAGGAATGACTGCCAAGACTGGAATGGAGACAACAGGTCTGTCCGGCTGCTCCTCCCCTGCATGTCCTCCCTCTTCCCTGCCCTCTGTGTCCCCATCACACCATGGGGTGACAGTCCCCGGGGCTGGCCTCTTCCCTGCCCTCTCTGTCCCCATCACACCATGGGGTGACAGTCCCCGGGGCTGGCCGCAGCAGGGGGAAGCACCAGTTACCTCGACCAGCCGTTTGTCCGACTCCAGCTTATAGAGCTGCTCTTCGATGTCTTGCTCCCGCTCCTCCAGGCGGTCCTGCTGCTTCATCAGCATCTTCTGCAGAGACAGGGAGAGAAAAGCAGCCGTCAGAGCCCGGTGGCCACATGCGCCAGGGAGCTTCAGTGCCGCCCGCACCGGCTCTGCCCACGCCGTTGGGGAAGGACAGGGCCTTTTCCCAGCGGGATGCCACTGTGGAGCTGAAAGCCCACGCAGGGCTGGCGGAGGAGGAAACCTCACTATTTCAATGGCCGTGCAGAAGGGGCCGTGTGGTTTGGGTGCCTTATTGACTGGGGACCTTGATTTGGGTCGCCTGGATGGGGGCAGCCCCTTGCCCAAGCCCTGGGGACCTTGGGGGGGACACACAGTCATCTCCCACTGTGGTAGCACCATTTTGAGGCCCATCACCCATGGCCAGCAGGCTCTCCTGAGACATCGCCGCCCCCCTCGTTCCCCCGAACGCCACGCCAAATCCTTTCTCCCTTCCCCGCCTCCCTGACAAGCCCCAGAGCCAGCGTCAGCGTAATCAGGAGGGACAGACAGAGGAGGAACAGGGCCTCCCCCCACCACGCTGCCAACCCCCCCAGCCACCACTACCTCAGGGCTGGGGCTGGGCCATCAGACTCATAACTGGGACAAAACCTTATCCCCAGCAATCCGGGAGAGCTCCTCGCTCCTGCACCCTTCCCCGGCCAGGGTGAAACCCAGCACCCATGGGAGAAGGGCTCCGTCCCTGCGAGCAGAGGCAGGGCTTCCCAAAACACCCCTCAAAATCCACTCCCAAATTTTCCCCTTCCGCAGTTATCCCCAGGAAAGGCCACCAACACCGGTGGGGCAAGAAGGGCTTCACGGAGACGCGGCGTTGGAGCCTCTCAACAACAGGGACGAGGATGGGAAGAAACCAGCAGCGAGGACGAATTTCGAGGGGATTACTGCTATTATAAACCGCCGCTCCGGGATTTATAATCAAGTAATTAATTCCTGGACGAGGCGGGAGGGGGAGGGTGGCAGAGGCACTGCCGGGATTAATTGCATTGCAGGGAAAGGCTGTCACCTCCGACTCAATTCGGGAGCAGGAATGCGAAGCTTCCTCCCTCCTGTTGTTTTTCTTAAGGTCTCGGGCACCTCCAGCCTCCCTGCCGCCGGGCTCCTACCACTAATAATAACGAGGAGCTGAAAAAAAATACAAACCCAGCTTCCCACTCGCAGCCGCTCTCCACACGCGTGCCCGGTGCCCACGCGTGAGCACCCACCCACGCACACGCAGACGGACACACAGACAACCTGACACAGGGTCTGAAGGGCAGCAACAACACGGGGGGCACATTTGTTGGTGCAAACAGAAACACAGGGCCCCCCGGGCATCCAAGGGCATCGCTGCTGCTGTTTATAAAACCAGCCGAAGAGGCGGGAGCATCCACATGGAGAAAAATTTGATGAATATATTAAAAATCTCTCTTTTTTTGACCCCGTAAAAACGTCGTTATTTGTGCTGCTGGGTGCTCAGCTGGAGTTTGGGGTCCAGCCGTGGGCTGCAGCCCCGGGTGGGCAGCAAGGTGGTCAACACGACCTGCCCTTGAGCACCTCTGGCTGAAAACATGGTTTGCCACATCTCTCTTGGACAGGCCTGGTGTGGAGCACAGCGCATCCGGCTCCGCATCCCACCCCAGCATTCCACAGGCTGGAATTACCCCACTGAAATTGCAGTCAACTGATGGGAAAGCCACCCGACTCCAGGGAGAGATGCTTTCCTGCATCCCTGCTTTCAGGAGGCTGATGGAGCCCAGAAGCTGGGGCAGGTCTTGCAGCGCAGGCTGAGCTTCTCGCTTTCCAAGCTGGAGAGCCAAAAGACACAGGGAACCTTCAACCTGAGCCCTTCCTTCCCTACACCTCCCTCCCTGCCGGCAGAGACTCACCGTCTCCACCTCCAGCAGCCAGACCCACCTCACTGGGAGAAGGGACGAGTCCAGTGGGACCCCCGGGAGCAGCTGGGACCCCTGCCCCCCCTGAAAAATATGGGATGTGATCCCAGGCTCACAGCTTGCCGGGCACAGGGGCCAAATCCTCATCCCACTCCGGCATATGCATCAGGCATCCAACGTGGAGCCACCCAAAGGCAGCCCCTTTTCTTCCCCCCAATGCTCTTGGGATGCTCCTGTGGGGAAAAGCAGCGTTTCCCATCACTGGCAGAGGCCAGGAGAGCAGAGGCCACCCTGCCAGCCCCCCACCCCCCCGTGTGAGGGACCCCCAAGGGATGGACCAAACATGCACAACCCATGGTCCCCTTCTCACCGCCCTGCAGCTGCCGGAGCAGAGCTGCCAACCTTTGTGTTTTGTAACAAACCTCAGGGTGCTCCACTCCTGGAATCATACAATTACATGAAATCACAAATATATACCTAAATATATATAAATAACTTTTTAGATATATACAAGTTAATTTAATAGCCCCTCACAGCTAGCAAAAGTGACCAAAACCTAACCTAAAGCCATAGAAATCAGAGAGAACAGAGAAGACACGCAGTGTTTTCTTTAAATCTCACATTTGAGCCACTCTCTTGATTTTAGGGCGATTTAAAAACCGTACGTGCCTGGCATTGCAGTGGGATGGGAGGGCTTCTCACCCACGGGAACTGAAACCTTAACAAGACACAAGGGTATGAACTACCCCTTCTGGCACCGAGGGGCGAAATCTCATTGTCTTCGCAGCACGGGCTGAATTCCTTAGGTATTTTGAAAAGGAAAATATATCCCTTCCCCTTCCATCCCCTCCCAAATCTGGTATTTCTGAAGTCATGAACTCCTCCTCCTCCTCCAGGATCAGAATTTCTCAGGGTAATTTCTCATATTTCATGCATGACCTTGATGCTGGGAGAACCACAGCTCTCTCGGTACAGGCGCCCTTCCCGGGCTCCGAGCAACTCCAGGATCCCAGTTTGTCCGTTCCAAGACATGCCACCAGTTTGCAAAAAAGGCCACCAAAAATGCTCTGTATTCCAACACCAGCTGAGAGGGAACTCATTTAGTTAATTAATAAATTAAGCTGTGGCCGGAGCAAGTGGCTGGTCCACCCTGACTCTGCAGGCCACAGCGAGATGGGGCTAGTTGCTGGCCACCAGTTTATTCTGCTGGACTTCCATGGAATCCCCCCTCTCTTCATGGAAAAAAGCTTGGAGGGGGGGTGGAAAAAGGCTGGGCCCTAAGAGGAGGTTACCGGGGCCCTCTGAAAATGTGCCATGGGCACCAAGCCCACGCAGGAGCAGGACTGCCAAAGGTGGAAGGAGAAAGGAGTGGAGATGATCCTTTGCTTACTGATCAGGAGCCCCACTGCTGGGGGAGCAGCGTGGGACACGTCCTTTCTCCCCAGGAAGGTGATGGGGGGGTGTCTGGCCGGGGATGGAGACAGAGCAGAACTGCAAGATGAAATGGCTGGAGCCACAAGACAGAAAGATGGTAATAAAGAGTTTAACATCTCGGATGATACAGGGCACCTGGGCTCCTCATCTGAGTCATCACACACGGCTCCAGCAGCACAAGTGTTGGCTGTGTTACACACATGGGTCCAGCTCAGACAGCCAGGCAACCCCCGCTGCAAAGAGGGCCACTGGGGTGTGGGACAGAGCTCACAGCCACCCCAAGACCTCCCAGGCAGGGAGAAACAGGACGAGGGGCAATGGCTTCAAGCTGGAGGGGAACAGATTTAGACTGGAGATGAGGAGAGGGTTCTTCACTGTGAGGGTGGTGGAGCACTGGAACAGGTTGCCCAGGGAGGTGGTTGAGGCCCCTTCCCTGGAGATATTAAAGGAGAGGCTCGACGAGACCCTGGGCAACCTGGTCTAGTTGGGGGTGTCCCTGCTGACTGCGGGGGGGTGGGACTAGATGACCTTTGGAGGTCCCTTCCGGCCTGGGCAATTCTATGACTCTATGACTCTAAATCTGTGGGCGAGATGTCTCCCTGGCTTGTCTTAGGCTGGTCTCACCACTGTCCTCTCCCAAAGGACAGGGCTAAGTCTGGGGCCACTGCTGAGCCCCCCATAACAGCAGATTATGGCCCTGCCCCGCCTGGAGCCCAGCTCTCCCCTCGTCCCCCTTTCAGAGCCTCCAGCAGCAGGTCCTGGGGGCTGGCATTGGGGCAACAAAATCCCATGACGTGCCCCAAGGCTTCACCTGCTCCAAGGATGGCCAGGGTCCCCATGTGCCTCCCGAGGAGACCCTGTGGCACCCCTTCCCTGGGGGCTTGAGCGCTTGCCAGCCCCTGCCTGACTCCCAGCGGGATCAGGAAGGAGCCTGGCAGCTTCACCAAAGCCCCAACGCCCCGCCGAGGTTTTTAAATGAGACGAGGGTTTTAAATGAGAGTGGGAGCAGTGAAAAGCCTTACTGTGCTCATGGGGGAAACGAAGCCCTTGGAGCTTCTCTGATGTCTACGCGCTGTGCATCCTTCAGGGCTGTTTCCCCAGCAAGACCAACCACGTCCCCGCGCACCGACCCGTGAGATGCTTGCAGGATGCTACCTGCCAGGAAACCAGGCTGAAACCATGTTTGGAGGGTACTAGGGGAGGGCAGGTGGACAACCCACAAGAGCCCACAGCCCTTGTGTTCCCCTAGGAATCCTGGGGGGGAGCAGAGAGCCGGGCTGCCCCACAGAGTGCCTTTAACCGCAGCTGGGGCTGGCCCAGGACAGGCACGCTCCCTCCTCTGCCTCCCTCCTTCCTTCTCCTCCTCACCCCTCGCCGCCAAATCCCAGCCGCCGAGTGAATAAGGACATTGTTTGCAGCCACCGGAAAGCCAGAACGGAGGGAGCAGCTCGGAGCAGGAGGGGGGGAGGAAGGGCGAGGAGGAGGAGGAGGAGGAGGAGGAAGGTGGAACCGGAGCGAGGAAGCCGCGAAGGGCAGATGCCTGCCACGGGAATGGCTCCAGACACCTGCAGCTCAGCCCAGGGACCGGGATCAAGGGCCCCCATTGAGACCCGCGTCCCGGCACGTTGCTGGAGACGGGCCTGAAGTCACAGCGACTGAATTTTAATGCACCGAAAGCCCTGGACCGAAGAGGCAAGAGCAACC